CATCTCATATCATAAATACACATATGCACTCTTTATTATCCTCATTTATATTATCATATGATCTGGAACTTATCATTTATACATGTCATATAACACAAATACCATTTCATAAAAGAACACACATATTATCATAACAAGTTATATATATATCATCTTTAAAGCCATACTTCTGAGAACTTAAGGTATGTGAGTACATAGAGGTTGTGCATTATGTTGTCACCATAGCTCACTAAATCCCACTAGGGACGTAGAATTTGTCCGAAGGACCACAAAGAACACATATGTCCCGAAGACCATTTAGAACTCTCGACTCTTGGCATGCCAAACTATACCCATAGCTCTCATAACACATAACATGGGCATTATTATTTATGTTATCACACTTTCAAATATTCATATCATATACACATATAAGCTTATGGCTTCTTATCACATATATCGTGTAATACTCACTTAGAGTCTCATATCCTCTTTATCATGTATTTTATATCACATGCTCTTGCTTTCATATGGTCACATAGCTCATGTCAATTAGTCACTTATGTTCACATATCGTATTCTTATCGCATGGTCATATTTCATATAACACTTCTTGTATTCATATAAACTTATGTTTACATATCTCTTATCATATGTCTCATCTCTAACGATCATAAAATCATACAACTTATTATCACATGGCTCATAGTTACCTAATTTATCACACAACATGCATTCACGTGAATCATATATAAAGATGCAATTAACTTATATATATATATATATATATATATATATACTCATCTACTCATAAACATCATATCACATCGCTTGTATCTTTGTACTCATGTAATCTAATATTGGAATTAGACTCATACAAGTCTTAATTCCCTAACATAACATATACTTACTATCATGTACTCACCTTGGTTACTTGTAAATACCAAACTCCTATTCTTTCTTATGAATCTTACTCTAACAGCCTATTTGAACTTTGCTTTCGATCAATGTCTCCACAAATATGCAGTTTAATGAATAACAAGATTCAAACTACTTAATACGATTCATATCAATATAAACTAATTAAAACTCCAATTTCCAACTTAATTGGTATCGGTACCACCCTCAAGGTATCGATACCTCTATGCTAGGGTACCGATACCTTACCCAGGTACCTATACCAAAATTAGTTTCGAAGTTTCTCGGGTATTGATACCCTCCACATAGGTATCGATACCTCTTACATATGGTAAGGATATTGTTCATACAAGTATCGATACCCCATACATCAATTCCTCATAAATGGCATTGTAGTATCGGTACCCACTCAACAGGTACCGATACCTCTTGCCCATATTTTCATTTTTAAGCCAAAAAAATCACTCTTATTCACCCAAACATTTCATACTTTAACCCCATTCATATTCTTATCTCAAATATACATACTTAAATCCATTTATACTCATCTAACACATTTTTACCTTCAAATTCTATCATCTACATGGAATTCAAGAATCATACCAAATTTTCAATGATTCTAAACTCATTTATAATACTTTAGACTTCTTAATCCTTCTTATGACAAGTCAAAAATCTCATCAAAACTCTAAAAACCAAACCATATCAACAATTTATCTTAAAACTCATTTTACAAATCCCTTTCTAATTCACTCATCTTATAGTTTTAAGCTTATATAAACTTTCCTTAAGCTTATATAAGCTTTCCTTAAGCTTATATAACACCTAAATACTCCAACCCAACCTATAAATTCAAGAAATTAACCAGCTGAAATCAATTTACCTTTATAGCTAGAGCAACAGGAGGAAGAAGGAAGAAAGGTTCTGGATAATTCTTCCCCCTTTCATGTGTAAATCTCTTATTAAAGGGGAAAAAAGATCTTTTAAACTGAAATTACCATAATGCCCTTTAGTCTTTCCATAATGATTATTTAATCATATACTAATATATTTGTACTTCAATCCTTGAACTTTTAATCTTTTCTTAAATGGGTCACTAAATTTCAAAAACTTCCATTTTAGTCACTAACCTGGTTTTTGGGATGTTACAAATCTCCCATCCTTTAAGAAAATTCGTCCTCGAATTTTCACTGCACAAATCGATAAGTACACTGCTTACATATATCCTTTAATATTCTCAAATCATTTCTCTTAATTTCTCTTTCCTGTTCACTGCTATTAGACTTACCTTTTTCATTTACTCAATTCTTCATCTACATTCGTTCTTATAGATCTATATAATGTTACTCATTATATATACATTAATTTCAATCCTTACCATTCACGATCATGATTCAATTGATTCATTTCGTTCTTTCCTAATTGATTTGTCTTATAAACCAAATCTTTCTCTTGTTATTATTAAAAAATAACTGGATTTTCCTTGCCAACTTTATCAAAAGAATATAATCATCCAACTATATATTAAACTTCCTTAATATGTATAACTAAATTCTTTTTTCTCTGATAACGTCCATTTGATCGGGAAACCCAACCTTAAATCTTCATCAAATATTATTAAACATATATTTTACGAAATCAAACAATCCTTTCACATCACCTTGCACACTTTTCTTACTTCTATATCGAACTTATCATCTACACATCCATATAAACTTTGTCATACTTAATCCTTTAATTCCCTTTTTCATTTAATTTCCTTATCATTTTACTCCTCTACCAATCAAGATCTCCTTGTAACATATATCATATCTTTTCTTCAGGCTCTAATACTCTTTTCATATCACTTATACTTATCCTTGATTATCAATCTTTATTGCATTCTCATAACTCTGATAGTTAACACTACTTGCACAAATCTTATTCTTTGAAAAATCCTTATTCAATTCATAATACACATATCCCTATTCTTCATCATAAACTTTTTCTATTAATCCTTAGCTTCACTCTACGAATCCTCATCTCCTTCACTATATCACATTTACATAATCAAAATATACAACCAAATCCCAAATCCACTACATCTTTGGTTATCTTAACCTAACAATATCTTAAAATCTTATAACTCTAATACATTTCCCATCACATAATCTTGTTATCCAATACTAACTCTTTCCATCTATAACACAAACCCTGATCATATCCACACCCTTACTTATACATAGTACTATTCCTTTGTTTCAAATTCATAACTCTGATTTCATTTATCTTATAAACTTGTCACTGATGCACTTATTTTTAAACTCTTCTACAAATTCTAACCACATCATTTGATCTTTTAACATTCTTATGGTGAAACTTGTTCATCATATTCCATCTTATCCACGAAATAAAAACTATTCCCGATACTTTTTGATTCAAAATAGTAAAACCATCTAACGCTATTCTAACATGATTTCAACTTTCTGAAATCCACCGTTGATTTACGAGGCACTTCCTGAGGTGTCCGCTCTTCATCCAGCCTGGCCAGGGCAGGTGAATTGCTATCACCATTAGTCTATCACCTCACACTTCTTTCGAAACTCTCATTATCACACTTCTATTATAACGTAATAATCTAATTTTATTAGTAAGACATCACACTCTTACACTATCAGATCAGAAATTTTCACTTTGAGTTGGCATGTACACATTTTAAAACTCTTTTACCTTCGTTAAGTCTAGAATCGACTAAACCTTAGCTCTAATACCATTAAATGTAATACCCCCAACCCTATCCGATCCGGATCCGAGTCCGAGGTGTCACATTGACTTATCAAAACCCTTTTCTTTACAATTCCATAAAATCTTAAATTCATTATTTAAGAAAATGAATATTTTACTTTAATTAGGATAAAATTTTACAAACATATCAGAGTATATACAACTCGAATCTAATAGTACATGCCAACCATATCTAAAGAACAAAATACATATTAATCATTACTTTTCTGATCTGAACTTCGTAAGAAAGATGTTGACCTGTCTCACTCCTCTTAGCTTCTCTTTTCACTTTCCAAACCTACGTGTGAAACATTCACACGCTAAGTCGATGACTTAGTGAGGCATATAAATAATAAATGTAAACAACAAATGCATGTACATATCATGTAATACATTATTCTCATATACATATTTAAATCATCATTAATATGATTACCATTACTTATTTTATTATCAATAATTGTTTTCTATCATATGAGCATATACTTGATATAAACAAATAATATAAACTCTAAAACACAACAAGCATGAATAATTACCACTATCATGTTATACACAAGCACATATCATCTCATATCACAAATACACATATGCACTTTATTATTATCCTCATTTCTATTATCATATGATCCGAAACTTATTATTTATACAGTCATATAACACAAATACCATTTCATAAAAGAACATATTATCATAACAAGTTTTATATATATTATTATATATATATATATCTAGTGGTATACTTTGAGAACTTAAGGTATGTGAGACATAGAGGTTATGCACAATGCTGTCACCACATCTCGTATAAATCCACTAGGGGCGCGTTAAAATTTTTCCCGAAGGACCACATAGAACATATGTCCCGAAGGACCACGTAGAACCCTCGACTCTTGGCATGCTAGCTATCCCTTAGCTCTCATAACACATAACATGGGCATTATTATTTATGTTATCACACTTTCACATATCATATCATATACACATATAAGCTCATGGCTTCTTATCACATATATCGTGTAATACTCACTTGGAGTCTCATATCCTCTTTATCATGTATTTCATATCACATGCTCTTGCTTTCATATGGTCACATAGCTCATGTCAATAGTCACTTATGTTCACATATCACATTCATGTCGCATGGTCACATTTCATATAACACTTCTTGTATTCATATAAACTTATATTAAAATATCTCTTGTTATATGTCTTATCTCTTATGATCATAGAATTATACAACTTATTATCACATGGCTCACAGTTACCTAATTTATCACACAACATGCATTCACATGAATCGTATATAAAGATGCATTTAAATTCTATATATATATATATACTCATCTACTCATAAACATCATATCACATCATGCTTGTATCTTTGTACTCATGTAATCTAATGTCGGAATTAGACTCATCGCAAGTCTTAATTCCCTAACATAACATATACTTACTATTATGTACTCACCTTGGTGAGTTACTTGCCAATACCAAACTCTTGTTCATTCTCGTGAATCTTACTCTGACAGCCTATCCGAACTTTACTTTTGATCAATATCTACATAAATACTTGGTTTACTGAATTATAATATTCGAACTACTTAATACGATTCATATCAATATAAACTAATTAAAACTCTAATTTCCACTTTTCAACTTAAGTGGTATCGATACCACCCTCAAGGTACAGATACTTCTATGCTAGGGTACCGATACCCTACCCAGGTACCTATACCAAAATTAGCTTCGAAGTTTCCCGTGTATCGATACCCTCCACTTAGGTATCGATACCTCTTCCATATGGTATTGATATTTTTCATACAGGTATCGATACCCCATGCATCAATTCCTTATAAATGGCCTTGTAGTATCGGTACCCACTCAACATGTACAGATACCCCTTGCCCAGATTTTCATTTTTAAGCCCAAAATTCACTCTTATTAACCCAAACATTTCATACTTTAATCCCATTCATATTCTTAACTCAAATATACATACTTAAATCCATTTATACTCATCTAACACATCTTTACCTTCAAAATTTTATCCTCTACATGAAATTCAAGAATCTTACCAAATTTTCAATGTGTTCCAAACTCATTTCTAATACTTTAGACTTCTTAATCCTTCTTATGACAAGTCAAAAATATCATCAAAACTCTAAAAACCAAACCATACCAACAATTCATCTTAAAACTCATTTTACAAATCCCTTTCTAATTCACTCATCTTATTGTTTTAAGCTTATATAAGCTTTCCTTAAGCTTATATAACACTCAAATACTCCAACCAGCCTATAAATTCAAGAAATTAACCTGCTTAAATCAACTTACCTTTGTAGCTAGAGCAACGGGAGGAAGAAGGAAGAAGGAATAAATGTTCTGGATAATTCTTCCCCCTTTTCACGTATAAATCTCTTATTAAAGAGGGATAAAAATATCTTTTAAACTGAAATTACCATAATGCCCTTCATTCTTCCCATAATTATTATTTAATCATATACTAATATATTCATACTTCAATCCTTGAACTTTTAAATTTTTCTTAAACGAGTTACTAAATTTCAAAAACTTCCATTTTAGTCACTAACCTGGTTTTTGGGATGTTACATTTCGTCTCGCTTGAGACAGTTTTTTCACAAATTTTGAAACAAAATTGTTTTCACTTGAGATTGTTTTTCTCAATACAAATTTTGTCTCATTTTAGATAATCTTCCTTAAGACATGAACACTTGATATTTTTTTTCTTAAAAATAAATTTCGTCTCACTTGAGACAATATTCCTTAAGACACTAACATTTGAGATTGTTTTTTTTGAAATAAAGTTTTGTCGTGCTTGAGACAGTTTCCCTCGAAACACAAATTTTGAAACAGTTTTTCTTGAAACAAAATTGATATCACTCGAGATTGTTTTCCTAAAAACAAATTTTGTCTCGCTTGAGACAGTTTTCCTTCGAAACACAAATTTTGAAATTGTTTCCCTCGAAACAAAATTCTATCTCACATGAGATAACTTCTCTTGAAAAAAATTTCTTTCCACTTATTTGATTTCACTCAAATGTTGAATATTTGATAGGAATTCAAAGAGTTAGCATAGAATTGCATTCCATAAACCCATATTGAAGAAGAAGATTTCATTCTCAAGTCAATCATTGGCAGCCACGACTAGATCTCCTCAACGAGAAGGAGCAATGTCATCATTAGATTTGGCACCGAACAACTATTAATTCTCCTCAACATGAAGGAGAAATATCATTTTCAAAGTCAAACTATCTTCAGAAAATTAGACTTCCTCAGCAAAAAGGAACAACATTGTCTTCAAATTCAAAATCCTTTAAGAACGACTAGTTTTCCTCAGCTAGAAGGAACAACATTGTCTTCATATTCACAATCCTTCAAGAACGACTAGTGTTCCTCACCAAGAAGGAACCATGTCGAATCAAATTATCAAACTACGACTAGATGTCCTCAACACGAAGGAACAATGTATTCTACCGACTAGATCTCCTCAACGTGAAGGAGCAGTGTCATCCAAATAACCAGACTTCTTCAACACAAATGAAAAATGTTATCTCCAAATATGGCTAGACGTTCTCAACACGAAGGAACGATGTTATCCACCGACCAGATCTCCTCAATGCGAAGGAGCAGTGTTATCAGAATTCCTCAATGCAAAGGAACCATGTTATTTTTAAAATTATCCATATTGACCCGACTTCTTCAACGAGAAGGAACAACGTCATATGAAAGTGGCCAGAACTCTTCAACATGGATGAGTAGTGTCGTCTTCAACAAACAAATTATCTTCAATAATGTCATCTTCAAAAGCATCCAGGTCTCTTCAATATGGATGATAATTTCAAAGAAAAAGAGAAAAACGAACAAAAACTCGTGGTCTTGTTGTCTTTGCCCTATTCTTGTTAACACAATAATGAGCGAAGAGGGGCAGCTGTAGACACTCATTTTTTCCAGGTTTTAATTATTATTATTATTATTATTATTTACTTTTTTGTAGGCCCAACCTAAAGCCCAACAAAGCCAGCATCCAAGCCCACCCGGTTCATGCCTAGAAAGAAACGTGCCCATTAACAGACCCAAACCTGGCTAGGGTTTTCACTCTTAGCTCTGGTTGTCCCAATTTCCAGCCGTTGGATCTGATTGAGATCCAATGATCCAGATGTATCCTCAAAGTTAGGATTTTTACCCTAACAATAGTATTAGCCACCGCTCAATCCGGGCCATGCCCAGCTCCCGCCACCATCGTCCGAACCTCTGACATTGCCTCCGTTTCAACAATCTGTCACCAATCAATCAAGAAAATCAAAGTCAGAACCCAAAACCCATTAAAAAATAAAAACAATTCCAAAATGAAATCACGAGGAAAATCGGGGCTCTGTGTCACAAACAAGGAGATGACACTCATACCCTATTTTTCTCAGTAATACAAAAAACAGACTACAAAATCCACATGCAAGATAAATGGAGAGTGGGAATCAGGGAGATGGACCAGAAAAAAACAGAGTGGGGGAACCAACACATAAAAAAATCCACATTCGAACAAAAACTCAAACCAAACAACAAAAAAAGAGGGAGAGTTTGCCTTCGGGTCTTCGATGACAGCAGTTTTGGTGGTTAGACGAAAAATTCGAACGATGAAAAGGCGTGTGGTAGTGAGGAGATCAATATAACTCGGTGGTGCCCCCATCGGACGATAGATTTAGCTGCAACGGGAGGTAGACTTTTAGACTTTCATTGTTAGATCTAGACCTTTGGGGTTGACTTTAGGTAAAATCAAGTTAGATTTTTGGTTTGGGAGAGAAGGGGATATTTTTGGGCTCTCCATTTGTCGGGGGGACCATTGGAGGCGGTGGTTGCTATCACTGGCTAGTGGTGGTTGTTCGGTTTGGGGAGAGAGTTCTAAACTCTCTCATTTCTTTTTTTAATAGCTGAAACAAAATTCTCTAGCCCATAAAGATGATTTATATCATCTTTGAAGCGACGCCTTTTTATCTAAAGGGAACCCACGCGTTCGGTATGGGGAAAATAGCATGTTTGGTCTGTATGTTTTATAATCTCCCGATTTAGCCATCAAATGAACTTTGTAATGTTCTATTTCGGGCACTCATTCTTCCACATTTATATTTAAGTCACAATCCTATGTGTTGTGATATTTTCGTTGATGTTTGATTCTGGCCAAAATATTTTGCAAATCTTACGTTTTAGTCACCATTTTGTACATAGATGCCTTTAAGTAAAATTATTGTTTATCCTCCCAAATTTCTGATTTTTTTTTTTTTTAGTTTTGGATATCGTCTAAGGTCTAATTTCATTTCTAGTACTTATATTATGTGATATTTTCAGTTGTTGTCTTTATTGTTGTTAGTGATGTAGTTTGGCCTTTCAGATTATTATTAATATCATTTAACCTTCTTAATCATTATGTATGCTTAGTTTCCTTTGTTTGTATTTCGGTCCCCAACGATTCCATGTTTGTACTTTAGTCCTTGACATACGTTTACATATTTGTACATGCACAATATTATATGTATATTATAGTTTTGAATATTTTATGTATGATAAGTGTCTTTTATATATTATTTTTACTTACATGTGTTTCACTATGTTATAGTTACTGAATGTTTTTATATTTTTATGTCCCAAATATGTTCGTAAATACTATATCATGTATATATTTATTCAAAATATTTTGATCTTCATATATTTATGTATGTTTTTTTATAACTGATATTTTTGAACAATCACAAAACGCTGATTTTACTTACTAATATATTTAATGTCACTCGCTCGAATATTTTCAAGAACACTCTATAGTAGAATGGGCGCGAAAAGCACAACTTGAACGAAGAAGTGCAATTCGACTCAATATTCGAACAAAAATGAACTTGAAATAAGTCGAGTTTATTTTTATAAAAAATGATAATTAATTCGTTTTTATTCAAATGATGCAATGCATGTTTTTTAAATAGTAATTTATTTTATGCAATTATCGATAGTCGATTTGTATTCGATTTGTGCTTTTGATAACGTTGGGGAGGGGGACATTTCTTGTATAAAGGAGAAATAAATGGGATAGTCTTCCCATTGGAGGATGTGCAAATACCATGATTTCTTCTCAAATTAAGGAATGTTCCCTAATAATTAATTCAAAAAAAAATTCAATGCCCAATAAAAGGATCACACTTTAAATATTGATTTGAATTTACGATGTCCACCATTTACGACAATGTATAAGTGATTAAGTACCATATTTGGGCGTTGTGAGGGTGTTAATCATTTCCTACGCGTAATTGACTCTCGGATCCTAAAAATGAATCTTTGATAACGCAGACCGATTTTTGTCTTAAAAATTATTTTTCTTAAAAAAAATTAAAAGACGTTTTCAGTATTCGACCAACATAACCCAAAGGTCGATGGGGACTCCAATTCAAAATAATTCAAAGTAATTCAAAATCTCTATTTTCTTTGAATAATTCATAATTGTTTATTAAAACTTAAATTGTTTAAAAAAATGGTTATGACAATTAGTATAGAAGATGTCATTCTAAAAATTTACTACAAATGCTCAAGTATTACAGTCTGAAGTAATAGTTGTTGTAAGTACATAGTTTGCCATAAACTACATACAAAAATGATGCAAGC